ACAAGTCCATGGAGAGATAAAGCAAAGGGAAAGAATAAATATATAGTATTGTGATTCAATTTTTGTTAAATCCTGATGGTACAAAAACTTTTTCTTCTCTTGCAGAGACTCTACATTTCTCAACAATTAATTAGTATGGATTCGATTAATGGTATTTAAAAGCATTTGTTAAAGTTAGTTAAATTTTTATTATAAAAATTATTTTTTATTTAATACAATTAAATTAGTAGGTTCGATATAACACAATTAATATCACCTTAACAAGCGCATCTACCTAATTTACTTAGAAATTAATGCTGATAAAATGATTAAGCCTATTTGAATTGAAAGAAAATGTCAAAATCATTCTAAGTTTACCACTTTACTGTCTGTATTGCAAGGTGATTTGTATCCCATGGACCCATTCTTTCAAACAGAGTTCAATGAGGGATGGTTTGATATTTTCAATGGCCAAAAACCAAATAACCATACAGATTAGAGATGGTTACACATTTGAGAATCGAGACAAAAGTGGGTTTGTAAAGTGCCCAAAAAGTTTAATTTATAGATGCAGAGATACCCAGTTCAGTTGGCCTCGTTTTCGACAGGTGCATGCCATTGGTGACCCAAACTCTCACTCAACCATAACAAACAGTAGAGAAACACAGAGAATCAAACCAACTCAAACTCGCTCGAATTCATTTTCTCACAAAATCCTACCCTCATCTTAATTGTTCTATTTTTTAATTAATTTCTTCCTCACCTTGTTTCCTGTCTTCTTAAACCAATGGAAAACCTCCGCCTGCTATGTATTTGACTCTTTGTTATGGTACATATATGGACATTATGTTGAATTTATATGTTAATTTTTGTATCTTTATGATTTATCCCCATCGGTGACACTTTGTATATATGTAGTTTCAATATAGTTTTATTAATGTTTAATATTGTTAATTATTGATTAATGCAGGGTAATCTTAGCTGTTAAAATCTCCTACTTGTTGCTAAAATTATGAACATTTTGTCAAATACATTAATGAAAAAAATTTGTGGTATGCATTTTGTTGAATACATTAAAAAAAAATTTTTTTTGGCGCACACACAAAAGGAAATTAATTTTGCCACAAAGGCAAAAAAAATTTTGTTGTATATATGATATATGTCAAAATAAAATAAAAAATTTTGTTTTCGGAATTATTATTTTTTGTTCTTTTTAAAGGTTCTAATTATATTATGCTTAAATATTAACTAATTACTATCATTATCAGTTTGGAAACCACAAAATTCTTTAATTATGCTCATTTGTAGATATGTATAATTCTCTCTCTCTCTCTATATAGATATATATTTGAAATTCTCTCTCTCTCTCTCTCTATATATATATATATGTATATATCATGCTTAAGTCTAGAGGTCATCCCAATATAATATATAAAAATAATTAAATGATGATTGTTGTCCAAAATATCGTTGTCCTATACAATTACAATTACAATTACATATTCAAATAAGCGAGGATTTAATGAAATTAATGGTAAGATTAACATTTATTTATCTAAATAGTATTTGAAAAATTTTGATCTTTTATTTTCTTTCCTTTGAATCACAATTTTGTGAGTGTGAATCCAAGTAAAAGATTTTACGCACCATTTATTTTTGTATCATACTTATAATTTTGCAAATTTTTAGCTTAATTTTTGTTTCAATTCAATATATTTTCTAATTATAATGGTAAAAAATTTCAATAATAATTCAAATTTGGTAGTGTTGTAGCCATGCATGTATTGCATAAGGCCAAAGTTGTCTCTATTCAAAGATTTTGATCTTATTTTGAAAGCAGAAGCTGGCTAAAGCAACTGACCACCTTGAAAAAGGTCTAATACTATGTGCTGCTGATGCTTCCTGTTGATACTTCTAGATTCACCAAAATCTACTATAATCTAATTGTATTTCTTTTTTCTTTTTTAACATGTGAGGAAGTTTAAAGGGGAGAAAAGGGATTCAAATCTTGACCCGTTATAGGCATATGATCCTCGATCGTGTGTTTAATTTCAGTTTCAAGATTTAAATCTTAAAAAAACAAAAAAGCTTGGATTGCTCTAATTCACTGATTAATTAGCATGCTTTATAGACTGGTATCCATTGCTGAAAACAAGCTACAATTCCATGCAAGAAAACCTGCCAAATGTTCAAATCGCTCCCTCATGGTCGCCAAGTCCATTGCATGGTGCCTTTGGCTGGATGCTTCTCCATATCTGTCTCTCTCCTCTCAAACTCTTGTTTTTATAGAGAGCATAAGAAGTACTCAGTTCCTCAGCAAAAACAGGTTTTCTTTTTTTTTGTTTTATAAACATCTGCAATTGAGCTAGCTCGGGCGATTTGTGTGCAACGAGAAAAATGGAAAGACAGCCCTCTCCTAGTCTTGAAAGGGCATCATCGTTGGAGAATGAACCTCTGCATTGGTATATACGTGTTTAAGTACCAGCAAATATGTATTTATTTTATTTCCATTAGCTAGATTTTACTCAAATTTTTAACCTAAAATTCACATTCTTTCTTTCAGGCTGCTGTGATGCAAGCCTAGCTGTAAATTCCATCTGATTAGAGCCATGTGTTTCTTTAATTTCTTTGTTATTGTGTATGGTACGTGGGACAGCACCTGAAATAATATTAATAATTACTATGATTAATTTTGTAATAATTATTTTAGTACTTTGGGACCTCAATTAATAAATAATATAGTCCTTTATCTTTTAATGCGTCGAATGAATAAATCCATCGCACGGCAACACATGGCAATATTAATTTCTCTTGTGCATCACATTGTAATGTATATATAGTATCGGAACATTTGGTTTGGTTGTTAGTGTATGAATTCGTCTACCCAAAATGTAAAATTTGGATCCTGACCTTTTATCAAATAATAAATAAATAAGTAACAGTGGATTAATGCACTTTTTAAAATTGGTTCGACTTTAGTTTTGGGAAAATTAACCGGTTGATAACGTTATATTGTGTTTCATGGTTAGATTGTAGATAATCAAACTTACATATAACGGAATTTGAATTTAAAACCTCAAAGTTCTATATATATTTTTAAAACATTATACTATATATCATATATTCATTTTTATAATATTGCCAAATATTTTTGTATATAAATGTATGCACACACAAAATTAAATAATTCTAAAATTTTATCTTTTTTATTTTTCCTTTTTTTTTTGGAAAAAGAAATTTACTAGTAAAATTAAGTAGTATTGTTTTCATGAGACCTAAGGCTCAAAGTCATAATGTACATTTCTCTTGTTACCAATATATATATATATATATATATCATCATAACGTGAGTGATATAAGAATGGGAACAGATGTGTAAAGATTTAAAATTCAAGTCATACAATTAATATTCTTTCTTGTAAAAAAAAAAAAATCTTGAGAATAAGTAGAGTTGTTAATAGAACTAAAAATATTCAAGTATATAAAAAAAAAAGATGAGATTGTTCAAAATTTTAGTATGGTCGCTAAACATAAGGATAATCCAAACCATGATCTTCCCTTTTTTTTTTTTTTCTCTTGGTAATAAAAGTTCGGGCAGATATATTGCTCTATGTTTTTAACCCTTAAATTAGGCATAAAATTGATAATTTTCTCTTTTAATAAATGGATTTAGTGCCAAGATAGGTTACTGGTAAAATATGAACCCAAAATTTCTTGACATCAAGATGAGTAGTCTTGCTAGATAAGTCCCTCTTCACCCAAAAGAACTCTGGTGTGGAGGCTGAGCTGAGCTTTTGGGCCTTGAACTGCTATATCTGCTTGACATGGTTATGGCATTCTGGCTAAGAGCCAGTATCTCGCATATAGGACAAGCCCGGCTGCCTACATATCAGCCTTTAACAAGCTAAGCGCACAATCCCTAATCCAAATTGCAAGCATTCCACATTTTTTACCCTATCAATCGAGGTAGACAAAGACCATACTCCAGTTTTTTATTTTTTTAATAAAAAAATTCGAGTATGAAAATAAAAAAATTATAGATACTAAAATTTAAATATCAAACCTGCTAAGTGTAAAGAATGATTGCATTTGATTTAATAGTTAGTATATATCCTATATATGTTCAGAGTTGGATTAATCTCCCTTTCATCTCATTAAAAGAAAGTAGAGAAAGACAATTGTTGTTCAGCAATTTTTAATGGTTTATCTCCTTTAACTAAGCAGCAAAAGTTACTCTAAATTTCATCCCTAAAGACGCTTCTTTATCGATTCACATTGACCATCTTTTTCGGTTTCCAAATTGACTGTGGTTACTTCAATTAATTATTTTGAACCTTGGAAATATTGTATATTAGTTACAGGGCACTCAGTTAAGCAAAACTAGATTAATTTCTTTCCCATAGCATTTTCTTTGTTGAATAAGCTGTCTAAATATTTTTCAGGATCACAAGAATCTGGGGAATGCCAACACATTCCATCTAGTATTTTCATTAAGAGGCTTTCAAAAATGAACCAGATTCTCATATTGTTCGATCATGATTATTGTTTTGCTATCACTTCAATCATGTTAGTAGCCAACAGGATTATTCCATGTGTCATTTTGTCAATCCTGATCAGGTCTTCCTGCTAGACCATGACAACTACAACTACATGGTCATGAACCGTCCAACAAATTTGAAAGAAACCAAGGTCTTTTTCCACAAAAATTTTCCTAAGAAACGAACACTTTTTAGAGCACAAAATTACACTTGTTACATCAAGGAGGTTACATGGGCTGATCTCCCCAAATTCATGTATTTTTAGCAAATTTTTGCTGCAATCCATTACGAGGAATTTGTCAATTTTAGCAGTCCAAATGTCCAATCGCTACAATCAGGCCAAGAAATACATCATAAAGGACCCACTTTTACAATCCTTTTTCTTTTGTTTTTATGCAGTCACCACCCATTTATCTACTCTAGCTTTTTCATCAGAGAAGGCGCAAAACTAAAGGAAGAAAAGATGAAGAAAGTGAAATTTGATCGAAACAAAGACTTTTAACAATGTGAAGGCAGCAGTCCAGGGCTTGCCCAAATCCCCAGAAAGTGACCAATTAAACTTGTTCATCTTGAAGAAATTTGCCAATTGCTTGCTTCTCTTGGTGGGGTTTCTCAATTCCAATCTCAACGGTTCCATTAGCAGTTGGCTTCTTTGCTTCTTCAGAGCCCTTGTTGTTGCGGTAGATGAAGTAAAGGACGAGCTGCATGGCCCCTAGGCCACACCCAAAACCATTGGGGATCTGAAAACAAATGGCAACTCGTTTACATTAGACAGTGACATCGGAGAGATAGCTCTGTTCATAAAAATTCACAAAACAGAACAGCTGTCCAAGTCTAAACTTCTCATTTACAGTTCCATTTAAAAAAAAAAAAAAAAAACTCCAAGAGGAGAAATTTTAACTGTGGTATGAGAAAAAAGCTTACAGCAACAAAAGCATCATGACCAAGAAGGCCATAGACAAACCATGAATAACCACAGAGGAATACAAATAATGACAAGAAAAATGGCATGAACTCCACACTCTTTGTCTTGATCACCAGCCTCTATATTACATTAAAAAAGAATAAAATCAGAACAATTAAAAAAAATATAGGGTTTTTTTGGTAAAACAAATCGAGCAGTTGAGCTAATTACCATGATTGAAAGAGGTGAGGCATACATGATAATAGAGAAAATGGTAGTAGCAAGGCCGCAAAAGAGCTTTCTGCCATTACCATGAAGGGCAAAGAGGGAGATGAGGGCCACAGCAGAGAAAACAGTGAGTACAAGAGTGAAGAGCCCAATTATTTTAGCCTTCTCCTTCTTTGGTGCATAGATGATGAAGATCAACACATAAATGGACTCAATTGCTGCACCTGTTCCATTGACTGTTGAAATCAGCATGTTGTTTTCGGATACAAAGGGAAGGCCATACCTAAGGAATTGCAAGACAAATTAGATATCAAATCAAGACTTTGCTATAAACAAGAAATGATAATGCTACTTTTAACTTTTCTATACAATTAGACAAAGTTCAAGAAGGTTGGGTTGTCGGTGTCCACACTTCTGTTGTTTAAACATTGTTTTTGTCTCCTTGAGAATTACAACCCGAAAGAATTTGACATCATCTAGAAAAAAGATCAAAGAAATAACCAAGTTTAAAATTTAAAATTCAGTCACTGATTAATAATGAGACCATTGCACAGAAATTTGGACCATTATGTATTCTAGACCATCCATTGAGCACAAAATCAAGGACAACTTTACATAAATACCCTTCATAAAAACAATCAAAAGACCATCGGATAAGAGATTCGACCAGGGAAAGTGAAAGGGTAAGGTAATTAGGTAGTTGAATTGAGTTGGATCAATGCGAAAGTTTACCAAGCAGAGAGGAGACAGTTAAGCAAGGTCATCACATAGGGTATTCCAGAGAACTGCATTGTGGACTTACTTGTAACGATCCTCTTAAATGTAATCCTTCAAAAAATTAAACATGAAAGAATCAAAAACCGTAGAAAAGATTAATCTTTGTGTGTGTGTGTGTGTGTGTGTGTGTGCTTTTTTCCAGAGCATAAGAGAGAGGGAAAGGAGAAAGAGCAGTCGCTTTGTTAACTGTTATACATACGTTGGAGACAAGAATAGGAACAAAGCAGTGGCATTTCCTGCAAACAAAAGAAAACAGATAAAACCATGAAAACTGAGGGAAGAATATTGAAACGAAAGTTTGATGGAAAGTAATTAAAACCAACCAAAAACACCAAAGATGAAATGCACAACATTCATTATTATATCTTTGAATCCCTCTCCAGCCTTTGAAAAGAAAAGAGAAAAGAAAAAGAAGAGAACCCAAATACCAAATGGGATAAGGGAAAACAAGTGTATTTACTAATGGCAAGGAGATGAGCGGACAAAACAAGAAGCAAGGTAGTTTATATAGAAACAGAAAAAATTGGAAGGGATAAAAAAGAAAGAAAACTGTTGAAAACTAACTGCAGAACTGTGAAAATATCTGTTTTGTTTTTATCCACGGGACCTTGGATTTGACCATGCGAAGGTAGGTCATAATTTATCGATTTTATTTTAAAATTATTAAATATTATAATTTTTTACAAAACATTAAAAGTATTATAAAATTAAAAAATATAAAATATAATAGAATAAGTTACCAGGTTAAAAAGAATAAAAATAATTTTATTTATTTATACAACTCTGGATATAACATGGGGGTCTTTTGAAAGTGATATTGGACGGATTCTAAGGCGTAAACATCAAAATTAATTCCACCAAAATATTGGGATTGTTTTGTTTCTAACATTCCTTCGAATTTTCGGAGGTTGGTTAATTTTTTTTCAAAAAAAAAAAAAAATCACACATTTGAAACATCCTTGTTTGAGCCTCCCATTGATAAATAAAAACGAGCTCTAGGTGAACGAACGATTTCATCTCTGGTTTAAAGTTTACTCGCAGGATCACATGTTTTGCCATTCTAATTATTGTGGGCACCAATTTTGTTTGATTTTATTTTAATTTAAATATAATTTTATTTATATTATTATTATTATTAATATAAAAAAAATCAAAACAAAAAGAAATAATTTAACTTTGGTAACTGAAATTAAGCAACCAAAATAATTTTTTTCTCCCTGACATTATCTAATTTTGCAACATGGAGTCTGATGACCTTTAAATTTTTTCATAAACCTCATAAAGTCCACAAAGCCCAAAATTTCTAAAATTTTGATATCTTAGTCAACTCTATAAATAAGCCCAAGTTTTTAAAGAAAAAAAGGACGAAGAACAACACAATACAAAGCCTAAAGAAAAAAGAAGGGAATACCATCAAGGAAAAAAAAAAGGGAAATTAAAAAAAAAAGGGGGGGGGGGAACATTGCTAGAAAAAAAGTAGAGAGTAATTTTTACAGCCATTCATAAAAAATAAAAAAAATACAATCTTCTTGGATAGACGAATTAGCAGCAAACATAAAAAAAATGTTTTCAAAAACAAAAAAAACTTCTGAGAATAAAATTCTCGATATAGGATATTTGAGATTTTTTTTTTTTTGAAAAATTTGGTTTAGAAAGAGTGTTTAGAAAATAAAAATGATCAATTTATGATTTTTTGAGAATTTTTAAAAAAATTTTTTAAGATCATCAAAAATTGAAAAAGTTTGAATTTACTGGCAACATTTGAAGTTTCTGGTGATTGGATTCAGGGAATGTTGTTGGAATCTAAAAAACTTTAAATTTTCTAACAATCTAAAAAGCTTTAAATTTTCTAACGCCATTGAAGATTCCGACCATCGATACGTGACTGCGATCAGTCGAAATCTAGGTTGCCACGATTGCTGACGGAGAGGTTGAATTTTTAGAGAGAAAGGCTCTTAGGGTAGAAAGGGAAAGGGAAAAAAAAAACAAAAACAAGCCTTTTATAGATGCACCAAAACGACGTCATTTTGCACATCTGACTCGCCTTCGATCAATATGCATAACTCGCGCTCCAACCTAACATGTTTGTAAGTTTTTCTTTTTTTTCATTTTATTTTTCATTTTTGATTTTATTTTTGTTATTTGTTTAAGATTTTTATAATTTATAATATTTATATATATTTTTATATTAAAAGTAAATAATTATCACTAACAATAAACATTAAAAAACAAATACTAAGATTTTAATTAAATAAAATAAAGGCAAATGATAAATTATTTCAATGAATTTTTTAAATATAATTTTTAGAGAAAACTGAACGCGTTCGGTTTTATTTATTTATTGCAAGTAAAAATAATTTTTCGAATTTTACCATAGAGTTGAAATAATCTAAAATTATTTTTACTAGAATAAAAGGTTTATGTAAACAATATAAAAAATAAAATTATAATAATAAAATAATAATAATAATTGATATTTTGAATAAATATTTTTTAAAAAATGTAAAAAATTGAAAGAGTTCAATTTTCTTTAATACAAGCAAAAGATTAATATTTAGATTTTGCTGATAAGTCGGGATAATCTAAATTTTTTTTATAAATAATAAAAATAATCACAACAAAAATTAATTAATTAATTAAATCCCTTAATTATTATAAAAAATAATTTTTATTTAGGATCTCGTCAAAAAGTTAAGATGATCTTAAAACTTGTTCAAAATTTTTAGAATTTCATCGAAGAGTTGAGATAATCTTAAAATTTATTTAATAAATTTTGAAAACTCACCAAAGAGTCAAGATATTCTTAAAATCATTTTTTTAAATAAATACTATATCTTAGAGTGAGATTTCGAGAATTTTGTAAATGGTCAATTTTTTAAAAATATTTTTTAAATAAAGATTTTCTATAAATTCTGTCAAAGCGTTGGAGAATTTATAAAATACGAAAATAATAATAATAATAATGTTAATTTTACAACAAAGAAATTTTTTTATAAATAAATTTTAAAAATTAAATTTAAATATAAAAATGACTGCACCATCAAAATTAAAGGATCACACGTGTTTAATAGGTATTGTTCGTCAAACAGGTGACATGAGGGTGTTAATACTTTCCTCACTCGTAACTGTACTCTTAGACCTAATCTTGATTTGACATATCTAAACTTTTTTTAATAAATCTTAATTAATTTTAAAATTTTTATTAAAAAATAAAATTTTTGGATAACTAATCACACCAAAATAAAAAGATTGGTAGCATCTTTCCTTGTGTTGATCTCAATGATTAAAGTTTCACTTTTGTTCACATTGCAATGACATGGGAGTTCATACGAAGTGAAAGCAAAAGTGGTAATTTGTTCATGTGCTAGCAGCAACCAGATGTCTTCTCTCTCCGACTTGACTGTAGGTTCTGGTCGACCAATTTGTAGTGGTTGTTGGCTTTGGTTGAGGTGGTTCTAGCTTTAACCAGATAGATTACCAAGTACCAACCCCAGGCCAATTGGCTCTTGCAACGTTATGTGAATTATAAATGACTATAACAGATCGAATCTTTCCTAAATGTAATTATTTTCTTGAATGAAAAACAGAAATGTGATTTTGAAATTTCTTTGTTGGAGTACAAAATTGTCGATGTTTTCACGAATTAATGTCTATCACGGGGGCAAAAAGAAACTAGCTGATCATGAATTTCAATTGGGGGACCATTGCTAGCAAGCTTAAAATCAAGCCTGGATCAGATTAAGACGCACATTGGTGAGTTTCAGTGGCTTTGAAGGCTGCATCGCCTTCCAAGAAACGATTCTTTCCAAAGTACGTGCTCAATGTTGAAAGACTGCCACGCACACAAATTTTCTTTTCTTGGAGCATATATCCAATCAAAGGTTTGGCGCCACACGTGGAAATCGAAAACTCCATTGCATTTATAATTCTAGTAGTGGATAGGGACAGTGTGAAATTAATGGCCAATTCCATCTCAATTATTCAACTTGTTCATTTGTGGAGTAGGAATCCAAGTAGTGGACGCATGAATTAATTATTTGAAATATTGACTTAAATCTCATTAGAAATTTGATTGAAATTAGTTAGATATTATTTGATGAATAAAAGGATTTATAGAAAAATAATTTTGAGATGAATTCTTAATCAACAAGTTTGGATACTTATAAATAGATGAAGTCTCTATAGGATTAAATATGAGAAAAAGATATACAAGAGTTATAAGGTTTTATTAGGTAATTACTTCACAAGACTGTTAAAAATTAACATCCTTATAAGTTTGTATATTTAAATATTTGTAAGTAGATTAGAGGAGATTGAGAGAGTCTACATAAAAATGATGATTGTTTGGTTTAGGTGAACTAAAAGAAATTGAGATTATCCACATAGGTCAGTTGGGTCAAATCATATTAAATTGATATCTCTTGTGTGATTGGTTAATTGTTTGATTTTGTTTTTGCTGTTATGAATATTCAATTGATTGAAGTTTTTTGTCTTATAAGTGGTATCAAAGCTAAAGGTTCAAGATATGAAAAGGGACAAGCCTAAAGAAGCTCGATTCAAGGAAAAAACTTGAGTTCATGTTTTAATAAATCAATTTATATTAAGGCACATAAAGAAGATTGTTACAAAACTTACATTACAGGTTAAACCAAGCATATTTAGCATGAAAATTGATGATTGATGGAGATTATTGAGAATAATAACTCATATTCCATAAAAAATTTGTTTGAGATTAGCTAAATATTATTTGATCAATAAAAAGACTTTCAAAAGAAGAATTTTAAGAGAAAATAAATTTTTAATAGACAAGTTTGTATATTTATAAATATGTGGAGCTTTCGTAAGATTATGTATGAAAAAATATGTAAAAGATTTATAGGGTTTTATTGGTTAGATACTTCATACAATTATTGAAGATTATCATTCTTATGGGTTAGAGGAAATTAAGATAATCCATATAGGTATGGGTGCATATGGACATGTGTTTATTTGAGTTGAAAATATTTCATAAAACTAAAGGAGATTGAAAGAGTATGTGGATATTAATTATGAGTATTTGATTTTGAGGTATGTTTATAATTTTTTACAACTAGTGGATCTTTTTTTTTATATGTGAACATAGGTTGGTTGATCCAAATCACAATAAATTGATTTCTTGTGTGATTAATTAATTATTTGATTTTGCTTCTAATGTTAATGTTCAATTAATTGAGATTTTTTACCTAACATTAATGAGCTACTTTAAAAAATATATATTTATTTGATTTTTTCATTTGTTTTTCTGTCAGCACCCTATGAACCAGGGTAAGTCTGCGTTAATAGAAGCAGTTCAAACTTGAAATTCAAAGCCCAATTGCCACGTTTTTTCTCTTCTTCTTTTATGACAAAATCAATTGTATCAACTGTCACAGCAGCAATTTGTATAGAAAGTTCATAGAACCTGATATGCTTATATTAATGGCATGCACTTGATACATTATTTGAATTTTAGGACTTGCATATATATTA